AGCACAGTGAATATTATGCACACACGTAATGGAAAATCTACCACTAAAATACCTAGGCACTTGCTTTTAAAGACTTAATTATAGCAATCCATGGTAAAGCAGAGACGAGAAATCAGGCTTCTTGATTTCTAGAGATATTCTTATCCATGAAATCACATGTCATCTTTGCATCCTTATCCCTTATTTGGATAAGCAACACAAATAGAAGTCCATTACCATAGATATAGCAGGTATTACGTCCCTGCTTTTCAGGTGTCTGCCTGTCTCCTGTCTATTTTCTATTCATTGATCACTGCTGGGGGTTCCCCCATGAGTATATATACTCCTCTGGATCCTTCCCATCTCTGTCTTGCTACTCAGTGACAGCTCCAATGCATTAACTCTTTAATAGCTTCTAAACAGCTAAGAAAGTAGTTGCAAGGCTAATTATGGCTGAAGGGCCCAGCCAGGTAAGAGCATCTTTGGCCTTAAAGAGTGAAATGGACTTTACCAATGGTATCACAGCTACAGGGGCTTTTGATGATGGATAAAGTGGTGATACTGACATGGTAAACAAACCTCCAGGCCATAACGTGGTAGTTATAAGGGTTACATACAGAATTGGAAGAATTCTTTGGCAAGATTATCAAGAATTAAGGGTATCCATGCACCTTCACCAGTACTAGCTTGCCCATTCATTCATTTATTTTAAATCACTTTATTGAGGTATAACTGACATACAAACAGCTGTGCATATTTAATGTGTACAACTTGATGAGTTTGGGGATAAGTAAACATCTATAAAACCATCACCACAATCTATGCCATAAACATATCCATCACTTCCAAAAGTTTTCTCTCTCCCTCTTTGTTTTATTTTTTTTTGTGATAAAAATGCTTAGAATAAGATCAACCCTCTTAGCAAACTTTTAATATATATTAATTAATATATTATTATTATAACCTATGGGCACTATACTATACAGTAGATCTCTGGGACTTAGTCATCTCTGGCTCATTTATTTTTTATTTATATATATTTTTTAAGTTTTTTTTTTTTTTTTTTTTGAGGGAGAGTGCATACACGCATGCAAAGGGGGAGGAGCAGAGAGACAGGAAGAGGGAAAGAATATGAAGCAGGCTCCCCACTGTCAGCACAGAGCCCAAGTAGGGCTCGAATGAAGGAACCATGAGACCATGACCTGCGCCAAAATCAAGAGTTGAGTGGGATGTTCAACTCACTGATCCACCCAGGTGCCCCTATTTTTTCAATTTTCTAATTTGAAAGGTGAAAATGATACTGTATTGTTGTTCTAATTTGCATTTCTTTGACTAATTAGGAGTTTGGATAGCCTTTCGAATGTTTGTTTGCTCTCTGAAATTTTTTTCATTGAGTGCCTACCATATTCTAGACACTATTTTAGGTGCTGGTGATATAACGTTAACGAGACAAAATGTGGAGTTTACATTTCAGTGCAAGAAACAAACAATAAAAACAAAAAACAAGCCAATAATGTTTTTACCATTTCAGGTAGTAAGAATGCTATAAAACACAAAAACAAAAACAATAAGTAGAAACCAGAGTAAAGGGGTCCCTTATTTTAGATAGGGGAGTCAAAGAGAAGTTTTCTGAAGAGAAGATACTGGAACATAGAGAAAAGCAAGTTCAGAGCTACTGCAGTGGGAACATGTTTGTTTGCTTGAGGAATAGCAATCAGGTCAGTGTGGCTGGAGTCCAACAGGCAACAGAAAGTATGGTGGTGTAGCAAATGGGGTTGGAGAGATAGGAGGCCAGATCAAGCAGGGCTTACCTTGTAGGCCATCGAAAAGGCATTGCATTTTATCCTATACATTTTGGGAAGTAACTGCATGGCTCTGAGTAGCAGGGTGATAGGAACTGACTTACATTAATCTGGCTGCTATGTAGAAAGGGTCTATAAGCAAGGGAGAAAGTAAAAAGACTAGTTAAGAAACTAGTGGTGGTGACTTGGTATTAGCAGTACAGAGAGAAAGGTGATTTCTTTCAGGATGTATTTAGAAGAGGATCTGGTGATGGACTTGATGTGTGATGTAAAAGAAACAGGTCACAGGCGATTCTAAGGCTTGACCAACTGGGTTGACCATTTACTGTGCTGGAGAAACACAGAGGAGTGATAGACTTGCGGAGGTAGAATCAAGGGTTTAGTTTGGCAAGTATTAAATTCGAGATACATATGGGACATCCCAGAGGAAATACTTAGTAAGTGGCATATGAATCTGGAGTTCAAAGGAAGAGGTCATCCTAAGATATAAATTCAGGACCCTTCAGTCATAAATGGTATGTAAAGCCATGAACCTGGGCTGTGATCCTCTAGGGAATGAGTACAGTGAAGAACAGAAGTCTGGACGGTGTTCCAAAATTTATAAACAGAAAAGGAGGGTCCAACAGAACATGGCATGAGATAGAATGGCCACTGAGATGGGATCTTAAGTTTCTTACTGAACTGCATAGATTCTGTATACATTAATGATACTGGGTTTTTCAGTTACTTACACTACAAATATTTTTCCCATTTTCCATCTACCTTTTGATTCAGTTTATTTTATTTTTGACATATCTACTTACAAATAGTGGCATAGTAAAATGCACCAGTCATTCCCACTGTGATTTTCCTCCATTACGTTTAAGATTAAAAAGTCTTCTAGTAACTAGAGGTCAGATAGACACTTGATGTTTGCCTGAGTATACTTTGATTTAGCTGGAATTTGTTGGTGGAATTTGTTTTGGTGTATGATAAGGTTATGGGTTGATACCTCTTCAAAAGATTCGTCAAGTTTCCCAACACCATTTATTAATTCTTCCCACTGATCTGTGATGTGCTCTTCACATACCACCTTGCATTTAGTTGCATTTCAGTTTTAAGCTTTGAAATTAAAACAGAGCTGGTGAAAAGCCTTCCTTCCAGTCATCACAATGATATTTTGTACAAGAATCTCAATGTGCTCACAAGAAAATGCTAAAACAGAACTGATCTTTTGAGAGGAAAAATGCAAGGACAGAAGGCTAAACAGAAGAAAGATAAAACATGAAGT